ACTAAACCAAGAAAATTATAAAAATGTATGAGATATTGAAAATAATCACACAATATTGCACATAAGAAATAAAATTCTATTACTTAAAATAAAAATCGGATGAATAAAATTTTATTCGTAAGATTTCTTTATAAACACTAAATATTAAATTGGAATCGGAAATAAATTGCAAAATATATATTTACTTTGCTATATTTTACTTTAGAATTAATTGCAAATAATTTCGCATGAATAATCGCATATTTATACTATATGTATATAAATCTTTGGGAGAAGTTTTTATTTAATCACAGTTTTTGGGTCTTTTCACATTTCTACATTTTTCGAAGATCTTTCTTCGTTTATCTTTATTGAAACGTATGTTTTCTACCTCTGTTATTTTGTCCTTTTTTTATGTTTTGCAACAAATTTGTACCTTTTAACGTTCTATATTTGATTTTCACGTGCAATGAGTAAAAATCAACGAGAATTGACTTTCGTCGCATTTAGATGCTACGTGAATTCTAATGTGTTTCAGGAATCGATTTGTACCTGAAAATTATGCAAGTGATCCAGGACTTCGTTATTGATCGTCCATTTTTCTATAGTATCAAGGCAAATCCAGCAACTAATGATTTCGTATCACTTTTTAATGGATACATCGTTAATCCAGAGTAACAATACCGTGTACCTTCCGATTAATAGTTTTTAGTGCAGTATTATCATGTAGTAATACTTGTTTTGCCAGTATTTTGTTCCGAAGATTTTTCGATGCTTAATAATAATCAATATTTTCCGAAAGCTTCAAATCTCAGACTGCGTTTTCGAAATATGTCTAATTTGTCGATTGTATATTTAAGCTTAACTAAATCGCAATATTTATTTTAATTTTAATAAAATTTCAAATTTCGAATTTCTTATTAAGAATTCAAAAGAAAACATGACAGGAATATGATTTATTATTGTCTCTTGTTGTCATTTTTATGCTTGCAAACATTTTTCATTTGTAACATATAATATTGATATAATGTTCTCATTTTAATTATAAAAGTAATCTCTTTTATGTTCATTTCACATGAAGAGTGTTGTAAAACATATATATGTTGCATGCATGATGTGAAGTAGCGGTATTTTGTGATTTTGTTACGCGATATATTGAGAATTAAAATTCATAAAGTTTTTATGATTAAAATCAATTATTTTCAGTCGTGATGTTCACTCGATGTCTAGCTATTGGCAACTTGCCGCCTCCGCTGGAATTTAACGTGGACCGTCCATTCGTCTACAGTATCGTTAAAACAAATGTTGACAACGAAGTCGAAAGTAGCGTCGCAATAACTTTGTTCGTTGGACACATTACTGAACCAACTGTATAATAATTTTAAATTAATATATATTTAAAGAGATATTAACTATATATATATAAACAACTTATATTTAAAGAAAAATCTATAAACGTAATGTGTATTTAAAGAAATGTAGGAATACTTAAAACGTTGAAGATTTTTTTAGCGCAAAAGTAGATATAAATATGGATTTACCTTCGCTGGAATACCACATCTAACATGGCTGTTGTAACTTAAAACGCGCAGAATCAATCAGCCATAAATGTAACTTATTGTTTATTGTTTATTGCGCGATGTAAAGCAGCTTTGAGGCATATGATGTGACACATTATGAGACACACCACTAAACCGATAAAGGCAGGTTTTATGTAAATAAAATTATTTTTCAGTTTTTATGAAACGCAAACGTGCAAGATTATCATCGTTTTCAGAGTTTGAAGTGAATCGTCCGTTTCTTTACAGTATCGTTAAATCAAATCTTGACAGCGAAGCCAGAAGTAGTATTATAAATCTGTTTGTTGGATACATGATCGAACCAACTGAGTAATAATTTACAGATCTATCTCGCACGTTGATTGTTGTTACTTTTAGCAATGTTAATTGTTATGTGTTGCACACACGATGTGAAGCAGTTTTATGTGACAGTACTAAATTGATAAAATGAAATTTTACGATATAAATAAATTGTTTTTCAGGTGAAGGGGCGTACATGCTGTGTGCAAGTGTTTCATCTCCGATTTCAGAATTTAAAGTAGACCGTCCGTTCTTTTACAGTATCGTTGAAAGTGGCACTATAAGTCTGTTCGTTGGACATATTATTGAACCGACTAAATAATAATTTACAAGCAGAGTTTAAACCTTAAACAAATATATGTTTAAAAAAAATATTAATTTTGTGCTTGAACCGTTGAAGGTTTTCTTCGTGCAAAAGTAAGCTCGTTATATTACTGTCAATTATAAATGTAACTATTTTTGTCGGAACGTTACAGATCTATCTCACGTTATGGTTGTTGTCACTTTTAACAGTATTAATTATTATGTGTTACATACGCGTGACATTATGAACATATTACTAAAATCAATGAAGGCTGATTTTTTCTTTGGTGTAAATGAATTATTTTGTAACTAAGAGAGTATACGCAAACGCAAGGTTTTCGTTATCTCTGGAATTTAAAGTAGACCATCCGTTCCTTTACAATATCTTTAAGACAACAAGGCTGAAAGTAGTGTCAGTTCGTTGAAACTGACTTTCATCGACTGATTACAATAATTTATAAGCGGAATTCAAACTTTAAATCTGCTATACTTAAAAAAAGAAATAAACTTTATAATTTATGTGTAGTAACGCATAAATAGGTCTAAACGTTGATATAAACGTATATATTTAGGCGATAATAAATAATAGTAGTAACGCTTGTGTATGTGGGTTATAACACTTTAGTCTGCGATTATTCGATCACATTATACATATGTGATCCATTTATTATTGAATAATTACTCCTCAAATAATAACTATACTAACAAAATTGCTAAATATTTATTAATAATAACTATCTTGCAAAAAGCATGCGAATTGAACGATGACTGAAATCATCGTAAAGTTTGGGAGAAGTACAAGCAACAATATATTTAAAAATGCATAAAGGATTAAATAAAAATTTATGTCGTTATTTAAGACGAGCTTAGTCGAATGTAGCACTGGATTTAGTTCTATAATGTTTCCATAATTTTGTTTCTTTATATAATTGAGTTATTTTTCAATATAAAAGCCGAATAGCTCAGTTACACGAAAACTACGGATAGATTACATCAATTTTATTCAGCGAAATGGCATGCAGCATGAAATAGGGATTACACGACGAGAATGAAGAACGATTCAAAAGAGTCAGAAAAAATGAAATAAAAATGTATATCTTAACAGTATGGGATCGACGATTTGTTTCAGGACTCAGAGCAGAGACTTTTTCCCTTTCCATCAATCAAGAGGTAGAATTTAATGTTGACCATCAGTTCTTCTATGGTGTTATTGTCTCGAAACCACAAGAGGAAGCCTTTTTATCGGTGTTCGCCGGATGGATCACTGATCCAAAAGCATAACCCATTTAATTATTTTTACAAAGAGAATTAATATATTAAAACAATCGGCGAATTTTCGAATAATTATAGAAAATTGGCAATGCGATATCATTGGGACTTGTTGATGGAATTATCAAATATTGAATTATTAAGTTTATAATAATCATTATATATAATTGTTGAGATTCTATATGATTTAATGATTAGTTTATTAATCAACAAGATTTTAAATCAATAAAGCATTATAATAGAAACTGCGTTCTTCGATGCATCCCGAATTATGTTATTAATTCAATTTGAGATGTTACAGGTTTTAAGGGAATTACAATCAATGATATAAAAATAACTCAGAATAGAAGCAAGCACAATTTTTTTCATATTTTAAAATTGTTCATTATTAAACTTGGCGTCAGTGCAATACCTTTCAATATGGATCCAAGGCTCACTGCGCACTAGAAGCACTCTCCGCTTTTCTTCTTCATACATTGTGTTTCACTTGAATTGTATTTAGTTCACTATGCTTTACATGTTGTGCTTGAAAAATTAAAATACGCATTAGAGTAATCACTATGTTTGAAATTGTTTTAAGATCATTAAAAAATATATAATAATATTATTGTGTGTATCATGTAATATAACACTTAAGACATTAATTATGTTTAACATGTTATACATATCAGACAATATTTAATATAAAATAATAGGTATTGCAACATTCAATAGTTATAAAAGAGATGTACATCAAGACGAAGAATAACGCAAGGAGATGTTGAAGAAGATTCCAGGTTTAACGATTATGTTACAGGTACAATACTACTGGCGTACAGTCTGGTTTTTCCAATGGAATTTGAAGTAAACCGTCCTTTCGTGTATACTATAATAAAATCTTCCTCGAATCAAGAAGTTGGCGTCCCGCTTTTCGCTGGACACGTTACTAATCCTGAATATTGAGTTTTGCGTCTCGAGAACTAACTTATCTCACTAAAGAGCGAAGAACGGAAACCAAAGGGGAACGAAAAATGAGAAATTACCAAATAATATATATCATATTTCTTTCACGCAATGTAATTATAATTTGATAAATTTTTATGCACAATTATACATTTATTACACATATATTGTTTTATTAGATTAGATTATTTGGGTATTTTGTTAGTATAAATAAGCAAAAAGATTAATAATTTAATGAAAAAAATACAAGAATAAACATGAATTATATATTACAGTGAATAATCATTTATTATTGTTAAGATTAATCCTTTTATTCCAGACATTTTTTTTATTTAGTAGGTTTTGAACATTAATATTTCTATGATTATTTTACATTTTCTCTGTGCTTCATAATTGCATTATTATTGCAGTTTTTTATTATTTAAAACAAATTTTAAATATTTTTATTTTTTTTACAGAGCACATAATTTATACAATTTACATTTAAGACATTAATTATGATTGATAATTAAGTATTTGAAAGATTTATTTTAGATTATTTGTATGGATTCTTTGATATTGTTTTCATGGTAATGTTACATTTATATATGTATTTAATATTATGTAATAAAGCTTGAATACAGTATAAGGTAAAAAAATCAATAAGTATATAGATCAATTCCTTTATTAGTAATAAGGCACATGTTTACAAATGAAATTTGATTTCGCGCACAGCTTAGTTTGGCACATTAGAGCGAAGGCGATAAACATTTCGTTACCTTACATATAGTTTTACAACGAATATAATGCGTCGCAACAATAACAAAATTTGCCTATATAAATTTATTTGTCATAATATAAAAATGCGAGATTGCTCCCATATAAATTCTATCCATCTAAAGGTATAATAAGCTCCCTCTCTTAAATCTTGCGCGATAGCTACCTATTGAATCGCTTAATCGATTTCTATTTTGCACAGTATATGTTTAAAGTACATAAACTATATATGTAGCATAAGTGCTAAACGTATAAGGTCTAAATAATAAAAACAATTGATAAAGAAGTCTTAACAGATGCTATTGCACTGTGTGCTCGATTCAAATTATACGTATGTCTAACATAATTCTACGGAATGTATTATTCCACGGAAATCTATCAGTTATTAGGTAATGATATAATCACTACTGTATTGTTTAATATACTAAATTGATAATATAGATGCCGATTAACACTTAAATACTCGCGTTGAATCAATTTAACCCAAGTTTTTTTCTCTTGTGATTTTTCTTTTCATTAAAAAAAATTGCTTGATTTTCGAATTTATAGATTTGCGATATTAAGTTTTACTTGAAAAATAAAAACATAATTGGTATCGCTAACATTTGTGTGTAACTTTCTACAAACGAATATTTAAGAATTAATAGGAATCACTTTATTTCCAACTTAAGCATTATATCATATCTAAACTTAAATTTTAATCTCTGCGATAGATTAATATAAAGCAGTTGCTTATTTCACGATGATTAGATAACATTGATCAAAAAATTATATATGTTTGATAAAATAACAAGTGATGAGGAACGTATACAGTTGAGCAGTTGTTAGGAAGACGTGATCGCGCAAGTTAAAGATCAAAGTACAAAAATAAGGTTTCTCTTAACTTATTCTACAATTATTAATTTTGCCGCTCTTCGATGAATGAGCAGTGGAAGCCGTGCCGTTCGACGTCAGTGAGCCTCTGCGCATCATACAGGTTGGATGCATAGTAGCAGTAGTATCGAGATACTCGTCGTCGTTCTCCGAATCCGTGTCTTTGTCCTTGATTAATTTTTTCGACACCAAGTCGCTCACGTAGCGTTCTATCATGTTGCGATTCTGCGTGCTTAGCCCGCCGTTATCCTTGTTTAAGAAAGGCAACAGTACTTCGGGTATTTCGTTAGCCTTCTCTTTGGCTACCTGACGTTCGATATATATTCGATGTAACTCGGTCAGCGCTTCGTCCATTGCGAAGCGAACATTGTTCTTGCGATCGGTTAATGGATTATCGCCGACGAATCCTAATGATTTAGGTCGATCTCTGCCGTTCATCTCTCTCGGTAAAGTCGCTCCTTTCTGATCATTGGCGGATAACATAGCAGTAGTGAATCCCATGGGAAACTTAGATTGACCGCGCAAATCGTTCTCCAGTGAAAGCGGTCTGCCATTAGGAGCTGCTTCGTTATAATTTCTCCGTTGCTCGTCGAGAGTCGAAGAAGGCGCGTTCGCCTTTGGGGCCGTGAAGGTCGCGTTGTACTCGACGTCAGGACCGTTTTGATTTGCCGGTTGAACCGCGGTTGCAGGACGGATCGTGTTGCGTTGTTGATTCTGCGCGGCAACATCTCGCCATCTTGCGCTGTTCATCACGAGTCGCGCCAATTGTTGGATAGTCGGCTTTGGAACTCTGCTATCAACCTCATCGACGTCTTTGGCGAACAGCGGTTTTGCCGGGGTCGACGTTTCACACGGCTCGCAGCCCAGATCGTTGCATCGAACCGCTGCATTTAAGTGACGCATACGCTCGTAACTCTCGCCCTGCCCAGCCAAGAAGTTCTCCTGCCGGGCGCGTATCAGCATCGCCTTCCGCGAGTTCCAGGTGCCCCAATAGGGCGGATCTTGCTCGCACACGCGGCACTCGGCGTCCAGGAAAGCCGCGGTGAGTATCATGATGGGAGTAGGCTCCCGTTGCGTGAACAACTTCCTGCGCGCGGTTAGCGCCTGACCCATGTCCATCTCCAATCGTGCGTTCTCTATTTTCTCCTCGAGCTCTCGTTCCATCTCCAGCAGCTTGGCTGTTTCGTAAATCAGGCTCTTGGTGTCCATGTAAAATCTGCCGACTTCCTTAGCGATGCGTCTCTCCGCCGAGGATTGCGTGCGAATGTCATTGTAGAAGACGGACTGAAAACCGAGACGCTGCTGGGCTTTCACAAACGGCGACGTGGACACCGGGCCTAATTTCGACCATATCGCGCCGGGCTTCTTGCCCGCCGGACTGACGGTGATCGGCGATACGATGCCGGGTCTAGTCAGGATAGGATTCTGATTAACCAATTCGACGTTCGAGTTCGGTATTGTGCAGGGGACCCGACAAGGCTTCGGCGGAACGAGGTCCAACTTGGGCGGCACCATGCCGGGTTTCGGAGGCGGATGTAAAGAGATGATCGCAGGCTCCGGTGGCGGCGATGGAGACTCGTTTTTGTTGAGCACCGTGGCATGGACGACATTTAGTAAATGATCCAATCTGTTTTCCAATCTGTTCGCGCGATCTCTGTCCACATCGAGAAATCGTGCCACCATGTCATTCTGCGCGGACAAGATCTAAAAAATTAAAGCAATTGTAATATCATCTCTATTTTCCAATCGAATTTTGTCATCTCTTTCTTTTCCGGTTATGCAATATTAATATTTTTTAAACTTATTTTCTTCTCTGAATTTCCTTTTTTTTTCTTTTTAAACATAATTTAAAAAACAAGAAAAAAGAATAAAAGCAAGAAAATAAAATATAGCTGGAAAAAAACAAGATAATAAAATTCAATAGAAAAAATTATAGCGATATTCTACCTTATTGACGACTTCATTTTGAGAATTAATCGCGCTAATCACGAGTTGTTCCAGTTTTTGCGCCTTCTTTTTTCTGAACGGTGCACTCGGCACCTCATCTGTATTCACGGCGCTGTCCCGTGACTTTCCACCGGTCTCTGACGGAGTGGGCGAGTCCAACAAAAATTCTAACAGCATACTGTCGTCGTTGCAGGTCGCGTTGTTCGTCACGACAGTCGCGTCCGCTAGCAAGGGATTATCCTGATTAACAGGTCGATTGTATGTCTCGTTTAAATTGTGCGTTTTCGTATCGTCGTTCTTCGATAGGCAGAAAGCGTCATTTAAGTTTTGTGACACGTCCGGCGAGTAGTCCGGCGATAGCGATCCATTTTGTTTGATAACATTCGGCATATAAGCTAGACGAGGAGCAGCGTCTTGATATTGTCGGTATGTCGCAAAGTTCTGTCTATAAGTAACTTTGCGCGGTTCCTGCGGCATCGCCCGATTGTCCACGCCTTGCTGCAATTGATTTTGCTGGCGCATAAGCTGCTCTATATTAGGATTTTGCATCACGTTGCTCTGAATCATTCCATTTGGCAAGCGTTGTTGATTCTGATTAATCAAGTTTTGCTGAAAGCCGAGCCGATTGTTTACCGGCACGTTCTGTTGCGGCAATTGATTCCATCTGACATGATTCTGCTGTTGAATATTCTGATATTGCTGCATATTCTCCTGAATTATCTGATTCTGCACGTTTTGCACTGTGTTCTGATAAGGAATCTCTCCGTACGGATAGGAAGTTAGCAAGTTCTGCCGATATTCCTCTCGCACAGGCTCCTCCATAATCGGGTGTGTCTGCACTGCCCGGTTGCCAATTGGAATACAACGTTCAGCGGTGTTTATGGCAACGTCTCTGGTAGGAGAGAAAACTCTGTATGGTTTGGCTATTATAGTCTCATTCGATTCCGGCGAATCCGGATACTCATTTTCACCTGCGGAGAAAAAAAAATTGAATCTTTGACACGCAAGACAAGTTTAAATAAGCAAGATTCTCTGCGAGGAAAAAGTGCCTTACATTCTATAGTCCACATAGGGGACAGAGCCTCTGTTCGAAAGAGAGATTGTACAGGTTCCTGACCCTTCAGTCTCATCTGCAGATTCTTGTTGGTCTTCACATCCTTCGGAGGTGATTTCACGCAATTTGCAGTTGCATCTGATGGCATAATAGAAATACATGTTCTTATTTCGTTAATTTCTTCATTGAAAGATAGCAGAAACATTCACAGAACATTGCGAAACTGCCTGAAAGACATTATCATCCAGTTGTACTTTAGAATCTTTTTGTCGAATTGTTTCATCATTGAGAATCTCTGTACTCACCCACTGTGTCTATACCGATATCAGCCTCTAGACGCTTGTTTTTCAATACTCGATCGATGGTTTCATAATACTGCTCCACACCAGAACGAGTGCCTACTCGCTTAGCCTCACGATAGCACACCAAAACTTGCTTCATACGCGACCGGCATTGTTTGCCCCCAACGTTGTAACCCTTCTTCTTCATGTAGCGTGCAACGCTGTCCCATATCACCTGTGGTCGGGCGGCGTACTCGAGCTGCTTCTGCACCTGCCGGTCCGACCACACCGAGACGAGCAGCGCGGTGCTCTCGGGCGTCCACTTATATTTGGCAATATCTCCGCTCGTCTCCGACATCGTGTCTGTGTGAGTGAGTACGTGGGTCCGCAGGTGGTCGCGCTGTAACAGGACCAACGGAGACACGTAGACGTATCGGATTCTTCTTCTTCTGCGGATATTTATCGGTATCGATATCGCTGTTTACTAGCTAGACTCACTTTACGCCGATGATCTCAGTAAAACTCAGCAAGACGCTGCGTCGTGGCTCTGGGTATTTAAATGAGATCGCACACCAAAAACGTACACTCGCGCCACGCATTCATGCGCGAACGTCGCCACGGCCAACTACGACTGGAAACCACTGGAATTTGTAACCGACAATGATTCAAATTTTAAAGGGACTGCGACCAGTGGGGGGTCGTATGGTGGGAGGATGGTGCATCGTGACAGGATCGGCTTGCATACGAGACTCGCTCGGGCGACAATAACCGTTTTACTCTATTTGAGGAGAACGAAATTGTGTAACTTTGATTTGGTTCCGGCTTGAATATTCGTTCCTTAGGAAATAAAAGTAATCTGAGACTTTGTTGCACGTAAAATAAATCTTCGATCACGTATGAATATTAAGTATTTAATATTTATATACATGACACTACAAATAATATGTTATGGATATTCGAAATTTTTCTGTGAATATTTAATTGACTATCCAATTAATAATAGATATTTTTTGTTTATTTTTGTCAAATAGATTTGTAGATTAAATAGAATCGTGGGAGAAAAATGCGTATACTAACTTTGGGCCACAGCAACGATAAGTTCGACACTGCGCTCCAACGCGGATGCTGCATAGAGAAAGCGAGTGAGAGAGAGTAAGGTCGAACGTAAGTGAAATCAGATGCATCATACAGGAGTGAAAGAGATCAAGTCAGCTTAAATTACTAGCACGCGCACGCTTGCACGTTTGTCGTTTTCGCGCTCCATCGAACGCGACGTGATGCGATGCAACAGGTGGTACGACAGGTGGTACTATGCACATAATTCTGCTCTAGCAAGACCAACCGGTAGATAGAAAACAGGTTTGTTTTTTAGTCACATTTTTCTACATTTCCTGTACTTAAAATGATACAATTTTATCATGTAGAAATTTTATTAAAATGTATTGTTGCAGATTTCTCTGGTCCTTGAATAATATAAAATAATTTATATTTTTGATTATGAGAAACAAGATTTTTCTGTTGCAATGCTATGATTAGTGTAATAATTATGATACAAGCATCATCGTCTGACGCAAATTCGCCCTTCGACCTGTAGTTCTTAAGCAATATGCGTATAAAAGAAAGGTAATCATTCGTTCACTCTATCATTTTTATTGTTAAGGAATAATATCTAAATGACACGATAACTCAGTAATAAAATATTAAAGCTATGAATATATGTGTGAATGAATATAACGTAAAAAATGTTAATACACTTTTTGCATAAACATATTTTTATATGTTTTAAAATATCTATAAAATATTTTGCGAGCGAAGATTTAAAAGAGAACTTGCTAATTTTGTGACAAAATATTATCAAATTATATAAAGCAGAAATTGTGTGTGTATGCAAAGAAAAAAGATTATCGACAAGAATATTAAAAAATTCCAGTTAAAAGGCGCACGTTTTATGCGTTTTGGAACGCATAAATTGATATACAATTTGATTGAATTCAAATTTCAATGCTACAGTTGACTAAAAATTTACTCGATATTCGATTATAAATATACTATTATAAAACATTAATTTAAAAAATCTTAATATTATTTTTGTAGTTATAATATCACACTTTCTGCACCCAAAATAAAATAACACTATAATTAACCACTAGAGAGAAAAAGAAAAGTATAGCTGCAAAGAACTGCGACATGGCGCTGACCAATCAGCGTAGAGACTAGTATAAGATGCATTTGGGAACACCGGTGCAGGTTACAACTTGATTGAAAACAAAACATCATCAACGGTCTGGCGGGAACGAGTAGGAACTATGGAAAGTTTCACGTGGATGTAACCGAAATTGTTGAACACATATATTAGTTGTTTGATGAAGCCTTTTCTCATCTAACGGCATTCGTCATGCTTGGATAAAACAGTATGAAATCTGAAAGCAACCTCAAGCAAGACGACAAATAATATCAACAGAATTTGAACGCCTGTGTTCCACGTTTTTTGTTTAAATGTGTCGTTGGTTCAGTTGCAGCCGCTTGAAACATGGAAAATAATGTGAATAATCGAAAGAAAAGAGCCTCGGAGAAGTCTAATGAGCATCAGACTAAACGCTCTAAGCACATCGAAAGTGATGATGCTGTGACAGAGGTACTTTAGATAATGAATTATGTTATAGCAATGATAATTGTTTCAACTGTGAAATAAACTTATAACATTCATTAAGTATTAAACTTTGAAACATTATTGAATATAACTAGAGTTAATGATTTTATTGATTGAGTAGGATTGTTGATATACAAGCATAAGTTATATGTCAGCAATGATATCGATATTTATCATGCTATTGCTTTATTTACAGTATACAGCTGGAAAAGTGAAAAAGATTCGGGTTCGTAACTTTATGTGTCACGAAGCTTTGGAGATAACATTAAATGAGAATGTCAATTTTATTGTGGGGCGCAATGGCAGTGGTAAAAGCGCTATATTGACAGCATTAACTGTAGGACTTGGTGCAAAGGCTAATGTGACGAGCAGAGGAACCTCTATTAGAGGTATTACTATGTTATAATTTGTTTTTCATTGCATTTATATTGCAATTTAATAAGATTTTGCTTAATGATACTTTATATGCAATTTTAATGATACAAATTGTTTGCTGTGATGTTTCAGAGTTTATAAAGAAGGGTACAAATAACGCTATCATTGAGATAACATTAAGTAACAAAGGAGATACTGCATACAAGTCTGAGATTTATGGTGATGTGATTACCGTTATACGTATAATTGGAACTACTTACGCATACAAGATTAAAAATTGGAGAGGTATGTAGAATATAAACTTTCTTATTGATTCAAATGATTATGATATACATAGATATTCATAGCAAAATATATATATTTGCAGGAGATATCATCTCTACAAAACGTGAAGAATTAGACAATATTATAACAACGATGAACATACAAATTGATAATCCAATATCTGTTTTGAATCAGGATATTTCGAGAACATTTCTAGTTAGTTCTAAGCCTAGTGAAAAGTACAATCTGTTCATGAAAGCCACTCTCTTAAATACTATAGAAAAAAATTATAATGAAGCTCGAGAGATATGCGAAGAAGAATATAAAAAATTAAAACAATATTCTGAGGTATATATTTGCTAGCTTTAGTTAATTCTGTTTTATTATAGAGGATTAGTCCTTAGTTTTTATTATGTTTCAGGCATTGTCACAAGTAAGGAAAGAAATCCAAAAATTGAAGGAAAATATCCATAGAGTGGAAGAAATAGATGCATCACGTGCGGAGTTAAATGATCTTGAAATGGAACTTCAGTGGGCTAAGGTGAGTCAGAGAGTCTGAAAAAATGTAGGAGCTTGCTTGCAAAGTAATATTGTTTATTTTAAGACTAACAATTATATTTATTATCTAGGCTATTGTGGAAGAAAGTAAGCTTTGTAAGATTCAGGAAACATTAAAGATGTATGAAGATCAATTGCAAGATCTTCAAAATATGGAGGCATCTGTGGGAACTAAAGATGAAGAAATTGATGAAAAAATCAAGTAAGAAAATTAATTTGTAACTAGAGTAAAATTTATACAATTTTCTAGAATTGCTATTGTTCTTAATAGTAACTGTTTTTTTTAATTTACATTACAAGAGCTATATGATAATCAAGATTGGAAAAAATTACTTTGACATATTGTTCTTCTATGTATTAACAGAGAAGTGAAACAAAAAATTCAGCAAGCAGAACAGGAAGCAATAGATAGCAGCGAAGCATTTAAAAGCGCAAAGGAGAAATATTTGGCTGCAAATGAGACATATCACAACAAGCAGCGTGAGTGGCGTTCAGCAGCGAATAAAAGAAAGCGATTAGAAGATGATATTAATTTGCTAAAGAAAGAAATTCAAAAGTTAGAAGGGTAAAAGAATATTTATAATATTTTGTCTTAAATGTACTTTAAGTTTATGATAATAAATGTATTGTCATATACATTTTTTTCCAGCTGCAATCTTGAAGAACATAATAAAAGAAGAGAAGAAACAGAACGTCTATCACAGTTAGAAGAACGACTGGACGAACTCGGAGCTTCCTTGCGCACAAAGCAAACCGAATTGATGCATTTAGAAGCTGATAAGATGCGACTTTCGCAAGAAGTACAATCCGCCAAAATTGAAATAGATAATTCAAATTGGCGCGTAGGTAAATATTATGCATCAATGACAAATTGATGTCTTAATGATAATTTAATATTAATCATTTATTTGTGTCTATATAAAAATAAGTTTTTATATTTTTGAAATTATAGAAAAGATAAAAAAGGAATTAATTGCGTTCGAGCAACAATCTGATAACGCACTAAGTGTGTTTGGACCAAATATACCGCGTCTACTGAGGAGAATTGAAGAGGAATATAAAAAAGGGCGATTCAAGGAAAAGCCACGTGGTCCTATTGGTATTTAAAATTATTTCGAAAAATGGTGTTATAAAATCGCCCAGATTTATTTTATTTATATAATTATGTAACAGGTGCTTATATAAAAATGAAGGATGCAGCGTGGGCGCCAGCAGTGGAAAGTTACCTAGGTTCTCGCCTTCTTGGTTCGTTTTGTGTGGATAACAATCAAGATGCCAAATTCTTGAACGGCATCATGAAGGAAATTTACTACAACGAAAACTTCCCCCAAATTATATCTAGCAAGTTCTTTCATAAGGTACGAATGTAATCTGCAATATATTTGATGAAAAAATGTATTTGAAAAAAATGTATTGAAAATATTAAAAATCAATGTATCATACATAAATATTTAACATCTCTTTAACTAATAATAATTTTTATTTTTGAGATTTTTTTAGATACAGGTTTAGGTTTATATAAATTTAGATTATTAGCAATAATATAATTATATATATATAAAATTAACAACTTTTTGTATGCGTTTTTATTTTAGATGCACGATGTTAGACGTCACTGCACTCAATCGCCACACCATTCTAATCTGCTAGAGGCTATGGTTATAGAAGATCCCATCGTGGCTAATGCCTTGATCGATCAACGTGAGATTGAATGTATTCTCCTTATACCAAAGAGTACAGAGGCATGCGAGATAATGTCAGACAGAACGAAAGTACCAAAGAATTGCAAGAGAGCGTTTACTCAGCGAGGTGACGTATTCTATCCTGATCCAAATTATAGGACTTACGGCGGAAGGTGTAATGGACGCGCTAAATTCCTTCAAGTTTCTACCATGGAAGCGATGCAGTGAGTACAATTTTATGTAATTTTTTATCGATAATTTTATTGTTTTATAAGTAAAGAAAAGATTTATATGTATAATTATTTATATTAATGTGTTTTTTTTCTTTTTTTTTTATAGAACACTAAAAGAAGACCTTCAGGTAGCGGAAAATAAAAAGCAGGATGCCATTATAGCACACAAAACTGTATGTGATAAAATAAAACGTACTAATTCTGAATTAAATCACGTTAGCACGACAGTTGGCAAGCTAAAATCCGCGCAAAGTGAATGCACTAATTTGATTAATGAATTAAAATATAAAATGGATTCGAGCAATGCTACATCGGCTGATGTTTTTGTAAGTATTCAAAATTATTTTGATACTATTTATTTTATTATTATAGCAATAATTATATAATTTGATTTATTGTATTTTCTAATTCTTTCTCTCAAGATTAAACCTCTATTTATCTATCTATACCTTTGTCTTGCATCATAATTTTCATACAATCAGGCGCTTTATTATCGAAAACGGAAGTTAATTTGATTTATTGTTTATAGCGGAATGAAGCTGCAGAATTAGAAAAGAAGTTGGCGCAGGAAAACGCCGCAGAGAAGCTTCTTGCTGAGAACGTAAAGGAATTTCAGAAAAACGTAGAATCTCTCAACACCGAGGTCAAACGTTGCAGAGACTTAAGGCACAATTTAAACACAATAATTGATCCCCTCAAGGTATGTCTCTATTCTCTGTTGTATTTTTAATTATTAGAATATCTATTTTAATAGGGGAATAATTAACACTACATGTGTTTGCAGGATCAAATAAGAGAGTTTACACTGCAGAAAGAAAGACATCGACAGAAGTGTATGCGCGCCACTCGGAAGTTACAGGAAGTTCGCCAAGCTGTGCAATGTGCAACAGGAGAGTTCGAAATACAAGAGAGAGCCACGAAGAAAGCGGTGTCCAATGCCACTTCAAAATATCCTAACAGGATAGACACGACCAGGTTAATATTGCAAATTTGTTTTGCACCAATGTCCATTTTATATATGCAGAATTATTGATGTATTTATTTTAATTTTATCTTTCACAGATCGATAAACGAAATCAAAACTTTGTTAAGCGATTTACGGGAAAAGATTTCCGAAGTGGAGCATCAGTATGGCACTATGGATGATTTGCGGAAACAATTGAGAGAAAAAGAGGAGAAGTATGGAGTGAACATTGAATTTACGTCCAAGTTAAGAGAAAGTTGTGAAGTAAGTAAATTTCGTATAATTAAATTGTGAATCTAATTTTTATCGGCCATTATTTATCGAAATAAATGTTCATACAATACATTCGTATATTTCAGAAACACATTAAACGAGTAAAAGAGCGACAGAAGTTATTTATTGAATTGAGGGATCTATACAGTGTTTACGTGCAAAAGTCTTTCACTGATATGCTTTCTCTAAGACAATACCAGGTAATTATAGGAAAATACTTGATCATATTGTATGGATTTTTATTATTCGAATACTCTTTCACTCGTTCGTTTTGCTAGGGCACTGTGGTGATCGATCACGTTAACAAAGTGCTTGACTTAAGCGTTAGTGCGCGGGACAACAAGATCGACAACAACAGCAACAACACCAGGTCGCTCTCGGGAGGCGAGCGATCTTACTCAACAGTCGCCTTTATCTTGGCCCTCTGGGATTGCATTCAACTACCTTTTTATTTTCTTGACGAGTTTGATGTGTTTATGGTAAATGATCACACTCATATATCCCAATAGGTTCTTCACGTATAATTACTTTCTGTTATATGTATATTTGTTTATTTACAGGACAAAGTAAATCGACGGGTGATAATGGATATTCTTTTGGAACACACCAGAACGCATAAGCAGAGTCAATTCGCTTTTCTCACACCTTTAGATACGTCGGATATTCTTGCCGAGGATTATATAACAATTCATCAGTAAGTAAAAATTCTTGCAATTATCAATTTAGAAAATAAATTTAAATATTTTTTATTGTCTTGAATATTTCTTTAGACATTTTATATGGTGTTATTTAATTGGAGTTTTTAAATTATTAAATCAGAAGAATTTTATTGCGTCATAACGCTTTGATGCACATTTTTTTTTTAGATTAGAACCACCAGAGAGGAGAGGTCTGAGTCAGTAAATACCTGAATGCTGCTTTTTTTTTCCAGTGATAGGATTTCTTTTTTGTTGTTCGCATTCAGGTATGAGAACATATTTGATTCTGTCGTAAACAAACGCACGTAAACTCGTCTAGCAATAAGAATAATTTATGCTATCGTTTTTAGTTGAAAAATAAGTTTTAAATATTTATTATCACACATTCATATAAGAAGATACGTATGCAGAATGATAATCAAATTTATTTTTGTGAGTCCATTTTATGTAAGAATAGCGGCAAATCTTACGTTTGCATACATGTGATAAATACTTTAAAGGTGGAGTGATCTTCAACAAAGTTTTTATTTGAAAAGTGATACACATGTCAAAGAATAAGATTTTTGTTATCAAAACATTAAAAGTGCCTTCGATATTGCATATGAAATTTTTTTTATAATAAAAGTCAGTTAATGGCCTAAATGCTTTTCCATGATCCATTAAAAATCTGGGTCCCATCCTTTTCCAAAATCTGTTTCCAAATTTATCTAAATGAAATTAATTATTTATAAATAGAATGGATAATAGATAAAGAAATTTTAACGATTATGCTTATATAGCAACGATTAATCGTAATATCAAATGACATAATAATAAACATTTGTGGCTAAATCGCTATCTTTACAGTATATTTTATCATAAGTAATTTTTTCGGTCGTTTGCGAACACGTCGAAAGATTCGCGAGGCTTCCCTCCAACTTTGACTCATTGCCGACAAGCATAAGAGATCCAAAGTGGTCAGAGGCGGGTGAGGGATTGAGGTGGCGTATATTACGCGCTTTACAAAGCAGTAAGTGGATCAAGGTTCGCACGGCATTGCGTGAATCTGGTCCGGTCGGGGTTCGCGGTTATCACGCAACACGCCTTTACGCATTACGCGCGTATTACACGCGATGTGCATGAGACGGTCGGCGTGGCGCCGACCTGTGGCCGGTCGGTTGGACGGCGGGGCGTGGTAATGGCATTACGCAATCCGCACCGTCGGAGAAAGTGCCAGCGAGCGCTCGTGAATCGGTAATGCGGTAATGCCTCAGAAAGGCGGGATAACAGCAGCAAACTCGCGGCAGGTAGTACCTGACCCAATTTCGGTAATTGGGCCCGGTCGAGTTTGACGTTCCCTCGACGACTTTCGATCCATGCGGTTTTGTGTGCCCTCTTTTATCAAATTAGATAACACGTTGCGAGAACGATTACGATATATGTGTCGAATTAAGTGATTTAATTTCGTCGTTTATGAAAATAATAACGATTATAGTCGGGTATTGTCAAACGATACAGTTTTTATTGTACATGATGGTTGGATGATTCATTTTAATGAGGAAATGAACACTTGTTTTACTTCGCGTTTTCAGTAATCTCGCACATGAATGAAAAACTATTCGATACAAAAATTCTAATCATTATTCTAACACTTTAAATATAATTACTTGAAATTCTATTCTGAATAAGTGAAAGAACTGTACGCATCGAAGGTAGATGCGCATAATTTCCTTCCCTCTGTTTTTCTACGTTTAAAAGAAACTATAATTATTTGTTGCTATTTTCTTCAGAAGCGCGATAGCAATTTGAATCTAAGCTTTCGCCGAATCAGTTTAATTGCCAAAGTGGTATCAAAGACAGGCGAAGATGATTTTATGCGATTTGTATACTTGCTAAGAAAAATGAGATTTATTCGACAAGAATCATTCCTAAGTGGCGATCAGGTCACAGCTCAGTGGAGGTAGGCAGCGGGGGCGGCGTAGGAGTAGGCGGGCGCGGCAGCGACCTTGGCGAACTGCGTGGTGTACGGCGTGGCGTACTGCGTGGCGTACGCGAGCGGGGCAGCGGCGACCTTGGCGAACGGCGTGCTGTAAGCGAGAGCGGGAGCGGCGGCGAACTTAGCCACGGGGGCGGCGTAGGCGAGAGGAGCTGCATGGGCCACGGAGGTGGTGTAGGCGAGAGGCGCGGCATGGGCGGCGTAGGCGAGGGGAGCGGCGTGGGCTACGGGGGTGGCGAACTTGGCCACTGGAGCGGCGTAAGCGAGGGGTGCAGCCTGTGCGATGGGGGCGACGGCCTTCACGGCGACCGCGGCGGGTTCCTTGCGCACCACGGCGTTGAATCCGTTGACCGGGTCGGCGGTGTAGTCGACGATGCGCTTGGTGCCGTCGGCTTCCAAGAGGGAGTAGCTGCCCTGAACGACGTCTCCGTCGCGGACTTCCTGCTGGCTCTTGGCGTCGCCGGTCAGACTGTCGTGCACGTCGTAGGCGTAGCTGTACTGGGGATGCGGGTCGTAGTCTGCGTCGACGGCCTTGGCGACGGGCGCGTAGGCCAGAGGAGCGCCGGGTGCGATAATGCCGGCGTTGGCGACGGCCACGAGGGCGACAAAAGCGACGAACTGGAGAAAAGAGCAAAGAAATTAATGTAGTATCAGATTTCTAGCAAGTATAATGGGAATTTAGAGCGGACTTTAAGAGTAACATAATGCAGAAAGAGATGTCTATTAGTTAGGGAACTTGTAGAAAAATTTAAATCAATTGCATTTTGCGCTAATATTTTTCTTAATAAAATTTTGTGATAAAATAGCTCGATCTGAGGACACGGACTGAAACTCGCGGGTGAAACAGGCGTTAACGAAAGCTGTGTGCCGAATTTATCGAGAAGTCGCGGCGTTGAATTCTCCACTTTCGAGCGATTTCGTTAAACATCGTTATTTATACCGTTTCTCGATTAATTGATAGAATAATAACACAAAAAGTGAAACAGCAGCGAGAAAACTTGTTGAGCGCACCACTCCGTAATTATCCTTGTATTATCGTAATTACAGAGAAGTTAACCCGACTGATAAACTGCTGTGTCGCGTCGCGCCGAGAACCAGCTTCGAAGAACTTTGTCGGTGAATTACAGAGATTCGATATACTTTCTTAAACAAGCGAGGCGTGGACTCGCGGGCAATACCTTGAAAGCCATTGTTGCTCGGTTAATCGGTGGTTCGCTCGATCCTGCGAGTCTGTGATGCGAGTGATACCAGCGGATGGACGGTTTTCGGCTTTTATACCGCTTCGTCCGGAGACCCACGCCGTATGGCGCCACACACACACCAGGTGTACACACACTGACGTAACTGGGTGACGGTGCCATCGACGGTCACCCGATTCGCGGCCGCGAGGTGCGCGAAATTGAGCAAGAAACCGGACCACGCCCAACGAGAGCGACGAGACCTGGTCCCGGGGTCGGGCTTCTCTTCTCGGGCGCCGCCGTCGTCGTCGTTGTCGATACCGTAACCCGTCTTCGTCGGCGACTAGGCCACGTCCTTGCGAGTTACCTAATCCTCCCCCGCTCGGTCTATCGAGGCTTATTACAGAGCACTTATTTTCGCGCCGTCTACATTTCTCCTTTCTTTTCTCTCGCTATGCAATCGTCTTATCTCATCGAGTGCTTTAGATCAGACGAGGTCGTCGATTCTCGCATGAGGTTTCGAATATAGAATGAATAATATAATTTATCGGATTACGCCCAAATTATAAATTAACGAAGATAGTAATTACGAACACCGTATCAAGTAATAATTTCTCGTATTGATGTTTACGGTTTATCTGTTCACGATCGCCAAGACCTTGTAATACTTATATTTTTTGCTACAATTTAAGACTTTCCATAAGAAAGATTGCCATATTATTTTTTTGCTTACAAAATTGTGCACTTTATACAACACCAATCTTTAAAATACCATTTAATATCAACATTTTATTTTTTATTTTTAAATACGTCTTCTTTCACAGTTACATAATTACCGAGTCTGATCAAGTGCTTCTTATGAATGCTCTTTATATTAAGCTTATGACTGGAAATCTTGGCCCATAATCAAATTCATCTAACATTCTATTCTCCTCACGAATTTTTCTCAGCTCGTCTTTGCTCAATGAGTTTAATGCCGCGCGTTTATTAATCCCGCAGCATGACTTTCTTTTCTTGCTTTCTTTATGAAGACATTCTTCTCGGATTTATCAAGAGTCTTGAATGATCAGTAAATTAATAGAGATTTCATAGGGCTCATCTATCATTCCGTTCTCTTCACGAATTTTTCTTCGCGCTCGGTGACTTTAATGCCGCGCGTTTATTAATCCTACACTACTCGCGCGGCCCCGGACATTCTGATCTACATTGAGGCTGCACGTATCGCGAAGCTCTTCTTCACGCTTGTCATGCTCGCTTAGAAATGACGTTAGTGGATACGCAATGGCGACACACAACGTCCTTGTGAGATAACTTCTTTAATCGACGATGAAAGTCTGCAATTAGCGATTTCGAAAATTGAAGTAACCATTAGCGCCGAAAATGTTACCGCATTATGCATATACGCAATAGAACTTTGATTTATTTGTCATGAACAAAAAACTTCGGCAGCGTCGAGTATTATTTAGCACACGTCATAATTATTACATTAATTATATTCTATATAATTATTCCGTAAATAAGCGGTAATTTTCTAATAACAGTCTTTGAAATATTCTACTTCTGATGTAATTTACCGAACATTGATATTATTTTTAGATTACATTTAGATTAGCGATTTTTAATATTTCGCCAATAATGTCAAGAAATGGAAGGCGCGGCGTGAAAATCCCATTTGTCTTTGTCGAAATTTTTTTTACTCGCTTCCTAGTTTTTGTCTCAATAGGCATTCTTCTTGTGATGCGAAACGCAATTTAATTGATGCGACAAGTTGCACAGCACTGTGCAATAAGAGATTACACGATGCTACTTGCATCAACTTGCGTGAACGCTCGACAAAGTGCTCGACAGTGTGCCGATCGACACCCAACCAGAACTTAATGGATATGTAGGCTGCCTGCTGAGTATCCCAAACTCAGATAATTATGCACGACGTTGCGAAACGTCGTTTCATGTAATTTTGTAGCCTGATGGATTGTATCACCTGGATCTCTCGAAACATGTACAATCAACCGGCACATGTGTATGCGTGACAAGAACACGAACTTTACTCGGAAGTGATAAAAATTTATGGAAATTCGATTATAAGGCACAAAGGAGAATTTATAGAATTTAATTGCACATTGCGTTTCAATTTGACACATGCACGCGTGTGCACGAGTCATAAAATTACAAAGGTCTTACGAGGGAATAAAAGGAGCGCCTGCAAGATTGGCCGCAAATGTAGAAAAAGTATTTCTGTGCACGCCGAACAAAGAACTCGTTATCTCCATGCCGCGAGTTTTATTTTATCGTACCTGTTACACTGGAACGGAGTGTATCGCATTTTTCAATATCGATTGAGTGAAAGATACAGAACCACTCACACGTATTTTTGCGCGGCGAGAGAAACGAAGGTCGTCGATTTTAACATCTAAATGAGAAAGATACATAGCATTATACGCTAAAATACAACGATCACGACTCGGTTTCAAATTGCAGCAAGACTCCACACTGGATAATTGACGCGGTGGATTCGGATTGAGAGGTTTTCGTTCAAGAAAAAGGCGAGAAAAAGACGAGCGATTTCAATGTCCGGGTCATCCGGTATATAATTTACTGCTGCCGGTCACTGCCGTGCGCCAGACTTCCTTCTGCGACCTTCAGTGCCATAATCGGCCGAATCAAAGCCGACAAGTCTCTTTCCCTTTTTCGTTTTTTTTTTTTTTTTTTTTTTTTAATTGCTTCGAACACGAAAAGAAAGGTGACGAAGAGAGAACGACGGTCGGTTGACGTTTATACCTCGTAAATTGTCCCCTATATGGTGAACGACGAGTGCGTCTTCTCGGCGCGTTAAAAGAATCACGTTATTAAAACAACGTTATTAAAACACACTTTGATCGCTAACCGCGATGTATCACGAATGCGCGGCGATAAATCATGCGAAATTATCCTGATCCGATTACATTGTCGGTATCAATTAAATTCCCCAATAAGTGTTGCCGAACATCGAACTAATGTGATAAAAAAATAAATGATTGACATGATCGATCGATCAATTAAATTTTACCCGAGTCTGTTTTTAGGCGAGAAAATAAGGAAAGTCGAAATCTCGAAGAATATTGACTCGAACCTTGGGTATCCTTGTACAATCGTTTTGATATGTCCGAGAAAACGTATCCCCGCATCGAGTTCAGGGATGGATTGAGATATCGATCGAAGTTCGAACGATTTCATGCCGATATCGCGGACGGTGGGCCAGAGCTGCGACAAAAACCGAGCGATGGTGACGAGCGAAATCTCGAGTCTCGATTGGCACGAGGTTGCTCGATAATGCCGGCGGGCCTGCAATCGATCGAGGCAGGCCTCACCACGCGATATTCGGGCGGCCCACCTATTTTTTTCTTTATGAAAGTGCTCCACTTCTTTCTTTCTCGCTCTTTTTTCCTTCTCTTTCTCTCTTTCTGGCCGTCGCACGAACTCCGATGATAGATGATATGACGCAACAACGCGTATCCTGTCTGTCGCGACACATTCGGCAGATATACTTATGTATATCAGAAAGTTTCGCGACTGGTAATTATAGTTTCTTCGCCTATGTAGATGTTCCACTTGATAGAGATATAACTGAATATTTTTAGAATGTCCTAATTAATCTTAATTACAAAACAGGGAGTAACATTTTGGGAATTTTTTCCTAAATTTTGAAATATTTAGAAACTTATTTATATGTGTATGAGCATTCAAGGATCAACTTCGAGACAATCGGTTATAGTTATTGAAACAGATTTGAATAGAGAAAATTAAGACAAGACTTCTGACACGCAAAAATATTTTTCGAAATAACAAGCCTTGGCGATCTGTATTATACTACAGTTATTGTAAGAATAATCAAAATCATACTTTAAGAATACATATGTAACACTGCGGGCGGATTGAGGCTCAACCTGTCATCGAGACACGCAGAGCACGTTTTTTTTCTCGATTGTTCGGAAATTAATGTATCTATTTTCTTTTTTACTGCAAACTTTAATTAGAATCTTGCATTATAATTTAAAAATTTTTTATTAATGCCTTACTGCTCAAGGACTGCGCATGAAAAATGATCGGCAATGTACAGTGCCAGACGGATACACATGCCGCGAAATTGCACAATTATAGCCATAAATATGCAAATTGAATACTATAAGAAATAGATGTTAAGTGATAAGCAATTATATCTGCAAATAATCGTGTATTTGCGCGCCCTTACGGCACACGCCCTTACTGACTGGCCCTTCACTTTCGACTGTAATTTTAGAAGAGCCTTCTTCAGTGTCGAAACTCTTAGGGAACAGAGAAAGTGCGTGGCAAGGAGAATTGAAGTATTATTGTCATTAAAATGTTCCCTTTCGCCTATAATAGCGAACATATCTATCTTATTGAATGATGTCTTAAACGATAAAGACTCTCGTCATTTATTTTTGAATTTGCTTATTATTATCATATTGCTCATCTGTTTGTCGCTCCAATTTATATAATATTCTATTTAATTGCATATTTTTTGTGCAATTAATATGAGATCTACTTTTGAAGAATTTAACTCTATTTTTATCTCGTTTGTTAATAATAATGCACCACATGTTGTGGTGCATTATTTCTCAAAAATGAGAGAAATTAATATCATCGTTATTATCGAACTGTGCGTTGAAGTCGAGTCGTTCCCAACTATTTCCGTTTTTGCTCGAAGAACTGTGCACCGTGATAGATCCTTCTATTACATTCGCGATCGGGAGTGAGGGTTGCGGGAGAAGTGCCGGCCAAGTTCAAGTGCGGTCGGCCGCAGCGATGTCAACGCTGGCGAACTTTCAAAGTCCGGCAGCCCAGGTTCGACGGTGGGGATCCATAAGGTGGTGGTCCGGATCCGCCGGGTATATAAAGCGGCCGCGATCAACACTGCGCATCATCAGTCTCGCTTTGGTCGATCCAAACCAATCAAATCTACTCAACAATGGCGTTCAAGGTGGGTAGAGGGTGGCGGAAGATCCGCCGAGTCTGTTCGACTGCGCGTAAAGTCTATTAGACTCGGTTGTGACAACTCGAGAAACTTTTGAAAGAGGTTCACTATGGCAATTCACTTTTGGATAGTCAAAATTACGAGTGAACAGTGATCGAAACTGATTTTCGCGGACTCTAAAGTGTATATCAAAGTTTGAGACCAGTTTAAGTTTGGAATCAATCTTTTTATAACTATTAAATGTTTTTCGTCCGAGAAAAACGTTCTCTTTCAAGAGTATCGCAATTTTTACTGTTACTTGTCTATTACTTATCTATGTGACTTTCAAGTAAATCTATTAGAAAAAAAAAGAGAATTGTGTAAGGACAGATTCTAATCTACAATCTTTTTTAGTTCGTCGCTTTCGCCGCCCTCGTGGCTGCCGCCAATGCCGGCATTATCGCGCCCGGCGCTCCTCTGGCGTACGCCGCGGCTCCGGTCGCCGCTGTCGCGCCCGTCGCCAAGGCCGTAGTGGCTAAGGCCATCGACGCCGACTACGACCCGCATCCCCAGTACAGCTAACGCCTACGACGTGCACGACAGTCTGACCGGCGACGCCAAGAGCCAGCACGAAACCCGCGACGGCGACCTCGTCCAGGGCAGCTACTCCCTCCTGGAGGCCGACGGCACCAGGCGCATCGTCGACTACACCGCCGACCCGGTCAACGGATTCAACGCCGTAGTGCGCAAGGAACCCGCCGCCGTCGCCGTGAAAGCCGTTGCCGCCGCACACGTCGCACCCGCGCCCCTCGCCTACGCCGCGCCCGCCAAGCTGGCCGCGCCGATCGCTGCTGCACCCTTCGCTTATGCCTCGCCGGTCGCCAAGTTGGCCGCTCCACTCGCCTACGCCGCACCCGTAGCTAAACTCGCCGCCCCTGCCTACGCCGCGGCACCCATCACCTACGCCGCGCATCCCGCACCCATCACCTACGCCGCGCATCCCGCACCAGTTGCCTATGCCGCGCAAGCCGCCCCGGTTGCCTATGCCGCGCACGCCGCCCCGGTTGCCTATGCCGCGCACGCCGCCCCGGTTGCCTATGCCGCGCACGCCGCCCCGTTAGCGTACGCCGCGCATTCCGCCCCCTCGCCAAGATCGCCACACCACTCTCCTACGCCGCCCCTGCCGCCTACGTCCACTGATCGCGTTGATCGCACCAGCTCATGTCGTCGATTCAGGCCGAACTTATTTATTTTTATACCATGTATGTTTTTTTTTCTGTGTGACTGATTAAAGGAATTACATACGTAATCGGGATTATTTGCTTATGTGAGACCTCATCAACCTATTTCCCGTTTTTTTTTTCACTGTACTATGATAATACATATGTGTATATAGAGTTTATATTTTTTTAAATTTGTTTACTTAACATTGAATATATATATATAAGTTAATTATATAATTATAGTTCTTCTTTTTTCAATGTAACAAGCAATTTCTTAAATCTTTTATAAATGTTTGCATCGATGATAAAAATGATTCAACATCAAATATCATGAAATGTTTGCAATTATATATGTATAAAAACATTGAATTATGTGTAACACGCAATTGTGAAGAAAGAATATTAATTTGGTAATGGACTACATTTACTGAATAATTATAACACCGCAAACGTATTATTATAGACGCTGACAGTTAAAATTAAAAAATCGCAAGAATAAAAATAAAAACATATTATTTGCATATTAAAAAATGTATACGGATATAATGATGTATAATTAGATATGGACACGTTAAGTGAACATTTTTTTTTTAATATACACAAGTTATGTATGTAAATTGAAGTGGAAGGTGTTAACCTGATAAGTCTGGCCAATTTTGATCAAAATAATTTATATTTATTATGTCACATTTGCATAATGGCCATCTGACCTTTACAACATACGTATGTAATTTTTCGTGCGTATGTAATTTCATTCATCGATGCATTATAATTTGCATTGCACATTTGGAATGTTCTGCTCACAACCTTTCCCAAAACTTCCTAAATTTGCAATTTTTTTTATCACATTCGCATAATTATCATCTGGTATTTATAACGTATATAATTCACTTAATCAAGATATTATAATTTGCCATAATTAAAATGTTCTACTTGCAATCTTTAAGTCTCAAAGCTTTCAAAACATAATCTTTTTGTCGCATTTGCATAATGATTATCTGACTATCATAACAACATTCGTACATATGTAATTCTTTTAATTGACATATAATTTGCCATATTTATTTCACTTTTAATTCTCAAAGCTTCCAAGATTACACATTTTTTTAATAAGTCAAAAATATCAAAAAAATTGATGAAATTTTTACATGTGTGTTAAGCTCATATTTTACTTAGCGAGCAAATCACTTTATATTAATCAGAGAAATTCCACGTGACAATCTTTGTTTGAAAACTTATTCTTTTTATTATTCAAAATTTCTGAAAAAAGGAAAGCGAACTGGAAATATAATTAGAACAATCGAAATCTTAGATATCGAGCGATTACCACACCACATGATGTGCTAATCGTGTACGTCATATGCGACATTCTAGCTCGCTATTGCAACTCGTATTGTGTTCTATGTCGTCATGCTAATATAAATTCACGATGCGATGTCGAAACTCCTCGCCGGAATCTATTTCGCATCGTTTCGACGCTGACATACTCGCGATTTGGAATTGTTATCTCAGAGGGAATTCTACGCCGTATTTGCGACGTGCGACTTTTAAACGCAATTCACCCATTGTGGAATGTATGGATTAACTTTAAATTCATGCATTGTGGAATGTGTGGATGAGTTCTTTTTTAATGAGAGAGTAGAAATCCGCGCGTACGTGAGTAGAACACTAGACACTTTGTTGCAACTTCAGCCTTTCTTGCTCCGCGACGTTTATTGCATATCGTCGGAAACCTTCGCCGCGAATTTCAGAGCCTTTAAATCGTATAAATTGTTGCCGGTTTTTCGTAAACCAGTTTTTATGAAATCTAAAATCTATTCAAAGTCGAACGGCCTCGGCGAATCAAACAGATTTTGCGAAATAAACCCGGAATGAAGCGTTCTCGCTGTCGAACGCAATATCCTTGGTCCGGACAGGCCGCACGTGCCCTTGACGCATGGGGTAAACTTTCGTGCGTAATACTGCGGCACTCACGCTATTTCTGGCGTTCGTCAGAATTGACCCACTTTCTCCGCTTTTCGCTCGTCCTTTCTCGAGCACCGCCCTGACGCGCGGACGGCGCAAGGATCGCGTGCGAAGCTCCACTTTTGTTCGCCGGTCCCGATCGGGACCGATTGCAAAAGTGCCGTTGCATCGCTTAAAGTATCGCGGGTAACATGACAATGGAAAAGCGCCGATTTTGTAAATGCAAAGTCGTATTCTGCCGACCGATGACTCGCACAACGCGCGGCGTGAATCGCGTTAATTCAACTTGATCTGATAAAAAGTCTGAATATTGTACGCATTGATTCACACATTATACTCGCTCTGTTAATCACGTTAATTAGCAGCGAGGATGATTATATTTCAGATTGTCAATAATTTACATAATTTGGAAACACAATGTTTCGATTCCGATAAGATTCCGATAATTCGATTCGATTAAGGTGATGTAATCATTAAGCATTAAAATTGCAATTATTTTCTTCTTTAATATATGCTACAGAGCATAATCAATCATATTTTTAGACGTTTTATTGTTGTATTTACATTTTCGTGATAAATGACAACAATGGATCTTTTCATAATCGTTGAAGTTGCGCCGCGCCGGAACAGCGGCTCGCAAATTTCGCGCGAAACGACGCACGGCACGTGAGAGAAACGTAGGAAGAAGAATTACGTGTGCACGCCACCAAATTCGAGTTCGCTCGTTCACTCGCGGCCCCGAATCCATTTGCCATGGGAGAAAGGCGTCCAAATTCCAGGCCTCGATTTAAATTGTGTTGCGTAACAGGGCGCGGACCGCGCACGCTTTTCGGGAAGCGCACACATGCAAGCGTGTGTATTGTTCGGCTGGCGATTCCACAAGAATGATATTGATATAGCAAAGTGCGTGTCGAAACAATTCCGTAACAACGACCTTGCCCATTAAGGCTATTGCTCACGCACTCCATTACCAGTTTAATAATAATATCAGGGTCATTTTATTGATCAAGCATTGATCGAGCATAGAGTCCACTAGCTTTTCAAGGCTAAGGTTCTGAATAGGCCTGCTACCTCTCCGATTTTTATCTTGATTTTCACTTTGTTTATTTTTTATCCTTCATCTTTGTTATGATATTCGTGCTTTTAAGTAACTGAATTACGTTTCGCAGAAGTGAGACGATTTCATTTTTGAGAAAACTGCAAAAAAATTTATTACACATGCTTTCTTTTATAAGTAGAGTTAAGAGGAAAAAATTAGCTAAATAACAATTAAAGATAATTGCTTTTTGTGACGAGATCAGTCATTAGAGATGCAAATTCGCACACGCGATCGAGTTATAGCGAGCGACGCATATCGCTCACGTACATCGCCTTCTTCACGGTCCCTAATTAATATTTATTGGTCGATCCTGATCTCATATTTCAATCGAACTCTTCGCAATTTCTTGCGGCAGTTTCTTGTTCCGTTTGTGAGAATGAGCTAATTATAAATTTATCTGGTCGCGCACATTTGCGAAAACTGTGGCGCACACGTACAAGACAAAGCGACTTTCAAAAGCGAGAGAAATCATGCGGCGATATTACATTTCCAATAAAAACGAATCGCCACAATCGCAATTGCGAAATTGCCGCTTTTAAGCTGAATTGTTATGAGCGTTTTTGATAACGTAATATAAAATACATATTTTACACTTTAAAATATTATACTCATAAAAGATATCATTCATCGATAATTTATGGCGTTGTTCCATTTCTCGCGTAATAATTTATTAATGACGATGTCGATGTTTTTTTTTGCGAATATAAGATATATCTTCTATATTTCTCCTCGCATTTTTCATTATCTTTGTCAGTTTATCCAAAGCGCGATAATTAGCATAAACAACCAGCGGACCGGCTTGACAAGCATAACACTTGCTTCGTTTGTGCACTTTAATCTCGCGTGGTGTATCGTATCGTGCGGCGCATCAATGAGAAATGATGGGGTCAAAGAAATATCGTTGATAGATGAGTCGACATTAAATTTTATCTTGCATCTCCCGCGCGAATCTCCGACGAGATGATTTATGGGAAGCGCGAAGATCGACTGACTGTGATGGTTTTTTGATACATTCGAGGAATGCAATCGGCTTGCATTAAGTACGCGCGGTTCTCATTCGGCTCTTTTTTTCACTTTCGTTGGTGACCTTGATTTGCACTGGCGTGGCAAATGATAAAAAAAAAAGCGCGTAGCCTTAATCGGCGAGGGTCGTGCAGGATCCTATTCGCCTCGAAGGAAACATCCGTTTAAAGCGGAGAGTACATTGTATCCATCCGCCTCTCAGTTTGATTTCGCGACTCTTTAAGTCACTTTGTAGACATTAATTTTTAATATTATTCGCACAGCAGAATAATATCTCATAATAATATATTTCAAAATAGAAATATGAAGAAGTTAATATCTTTCCTCTATTTTTTTAATTGATAAATATATGTATTTCTTGATTAAAAATAGAGTCAAAGTTTTATAATAATTTATCGATTATTTTAATGTGCGTATTTTTTTTAAACGTACATAACAAATATTTTCTGCATGGAAGATAATGCCAAGATAAATTGAATTGTGAGTGGATGCAACAGCGTCCGCTTAATTCATCGAATTAAATGTACTCCGATCACGACATAGTTGCAGTTACCGCAAACACTACGTGCATGTTTTGATAATTGAAAGACAACCGCTAATAGCGACACATTAGATTGCCGCACTTTCGTGTATCACATTCATGATGCGCAATCAATTTTGCAATGAACTTATGATTGAAGAAGCACACGATTTGCTGTTGTGAGAAAAGTAGCTTATTATAATAGAAATAAATAGATCGCGTGTTAAGGAATGTTTATTGAGTTTGAATTAAGGCAATCTTTTCTTCAGCAGTTATTCATGCGAAACATTTTTGTATTCAATTTTCTTGAACAGTTATGGATGCAGAATATTTTTGCATTTAAATTGATATTTTAAGTTAAAACTTGAAAGCTGAATATGAAAGAGAAAAAAAATATAAAATGCTAATAATCGCTATTTACGAACATATTCGCACATTTTGTACATTTACATATTCAGTCAAATGATTAAATATTTTTCCAGAATGTAGAAATATAATAAGTGCGTGTGCGTAAAAAATAAATTACATCTTTCCACAGTAATAATTTTATTTCAATTGTTCGCAGAGGTAAACAAGAAATACGTAAAATTTAATATTTTATTTGTCAATTTTCTGCGAAAACGATTGGTTTGCAGTCGAGTCACCGCTTATATTACAATCAACAAGGAACATATCGATTTTGCCCAGGGCGATCGCTTACCCGATCGGATTCCGACCGGTCTCTTTGTCAGAAGTGAACCGGTCTTTCGTGCGTACGTAATACAGTGTGCGATTACGAGGTGCGCGATTACATAGTGACATTGGGCGCGGTTCTTTGACGGCCGCGCGCTGCTGCAGTCGCGTTTTTGGTTTGGTGAAAGTCGATCCGCACGCACGAACCATTCGCTCTCGTCGTGCTTTCTTCGTTCCACCAGCAATATTTTCATTAGCTGCACTCCGTCTTTTAACACGTCGGAGAGAAAACGACGTCACTTTCCTCGCGAATAATCCAGTTACGTGTCGGTGATGTAATCGCCGTAAAATGCCGTAAAAACATAACAACATGAATTTTATTTCAATTAACGCAATAATTGCTTGAAAGAATTAACGTAACGCTTTAAAGTGTTTATGATACATTCCATATTTTGGGAAACACAATAAATGCAGATTGGCTGAATACCGCGGTGGATTTCTTATTACATGGAATGTAGTAGCATAAAAGTAATGCATATTAATGCATATTAATTGATTATAAATAAATTGATAATTAAGATAAGATAATATAAATCAACACATAACCATTTTAATAATTTTAATTATTTATATGCCTTTTTTTATATATTTCGGACGTTCGTTGCAGAAGGATTGCAGTAGTAAGCGTCATTCGCTGATATGTGGTCAGACGCATTGGTTGCAACTGGCGCGTCTGGCTCGTGCCTGACTCGCGCCGACTTTTACTACTTACATTGTAGAATAATGTGATATTTGGAAAGATGCTAATGCAAAATTTGTTTACGTTCTATTTCGATATATAAAAACGGAGTCTACATATCAATATATTAATTTTTTTATTAATTGATTTAATGAACTTTTCTAGCATTTGTATTTTTTATTAATTAATTTCAATTGGAAGAGCTTTAATTGCGCAGAATTTAATTTTATCCACAACATTCATTTTAATGTTCTTCTTTTTGCTAAATAATTGACATAATTTTCAGGCACATGATTTCACATGAGAGTGCGCTTTCGAAAAAAGTCGGCGATGGCATGTGCTTTAAAGAAGATATTTTTTATTGCGAAATACGATCGAGAGGTACGCAATGTAAAAAAGACATTTATCACAGACGACGGTAATATTTCATTGGCGTATTTTATTAGTGACCAATTATTATAATGATAATTTTTTTTCTCATACGGATCGAAGTTGAATGTTTTGTGCGAAGGTCGCGTACACACAAATGCGCGGCTTCTTGCGTAAATTCTTACGACGACGGAGTCCGGTGCGCGTAACAACGAACCCGAGAACTTACATAATTGGCGAACGCGCGGTGGATCGGGCATCGCGACGTGACGGTTGACCGAACAATTCGCGATCGATTCGCGGGAATCGGTGACATTGATCGACGCACGTCCGAAGCTCGCCGCTTTTACTTTGTTGCACTCGATGTTTGTAGTACACGTTATGCGCGACTTACGACATAATCGATAGGATCGATTATGACAACCTTTTATTGTTCAGTTTCTTGCAACATTCTGTTTACTTTTTTTCGTTACTTTTGCATTTTTCGTAAAAATGGGACTTTCACGGAAGGATTTATTGCGTAAAAAAATTTGAAAAAGAGAGCGATGCTTTTACAAGTAACTCATGGCAGAGGATTTATTGCAATTTCATTGTAATAAAGGGTACAAATAACGGGTCGTGGGAGTGGCGGGTGCAATTCGGTGGACAAGTGGTTCACGTCAACGCGGGGGCGGGCGCGAGACCTGTGAGGGGTGCGGCGTATGCGAAGGGCAAGGAGTACGTCGCACTGTACGCGGCGTAGGGATGAGCGATGACGGCCCTGGTAGCGGGGATGCCTGTCAGTTGAGCGCTCGCGATCGGTTGTTGTTGCGGCTGGGCGATTATTCGTTGCTGCTGTTGCTCCTGCTGTTGCTCCTTCGCCGGGTACTGTTGCTGGCGCTGAATCTGCGACTGTCGCAGTTGCTGCTCCTGCTGCTGCTGGCGTTGTTGATCCTGCAGCCGCTGCAGCTGTCGCAGTTGCTGCTCCTGCTGCTGCTGGCGTTGTTGATCCTGCAGCCGCTGCAGCTGTCGCAACTGTTGGCGCTGAATCTCCTGATCGCGCGGCGTCGGCTTCGTCAGAGGACCCGATCGAGCCTCGACCACCTCGACGTCGGAATCGGGCCCGATGGCGGGGATCGACGGCGCGGCTGGCGCGGGAGCGGCCGGCAAGGCGACGGGGGTCAGCGCAGCCGGTCTGAGCGGTAGAACCGGCGTCGCGATCGCGGCCACCGTCGCCGGTTCCCTGCTGACGATCGCGTTGAAGCCGTTGATCGGATCCGCGGTGTACTTGACGATACGGCGCGTGCCGTCGGCCTCGATCAAGCTGTAGCTACCCTGGACGAGATCGCCGTTGCGGGTCTCGTACTGAGCCTTGGAGTCGCCGGTTATCGCGTCCTGCACATCGTATGCGAAGCTGTACTGCGGCGCCGCGTCGAACTCCTCCAACTTCGCGAAGGGCGCTGTCGCCGCCAGCGGCACGGCGGGAATCACCGCCCCTCGGGCGAACGCCGCCAGTCCCAAGAACACGAAGAGCTGAAAATCCATCGTTCCGTTCGGTTTATCAAATTTTCGTTTGATTGGAAATTTTATTTTAAGCATCGACGCGTACTTTTCTAACGTCTCGCGTAGAATGTATCTGAAAGCTATTGTTCGACGCGCCTTTGCAGCCTTTGATGTTCAACGCGACAGTCGCGCGCGCGCGCACGTAGTTAGATTGAATAAAGTCAATTGCGAAATGTTATTTTCCGAAGTGGAATTAGAAGTAGAATTTCTCTATGCTATTCTCCCAGCTACCCTTACCGTGCCGGCCATGATTGTTCGCGGTAGGATCGACAGAAGACTGATGCCTCGGGACGAGATTGCCCGTACTTTTATACCGTTGTTGTCGCACTAGTGTCATCCGACGGACGAGGTGCTCCTTGCAGCCGAAATTCACGCTTACACGCCCCACCTAATCTCTATAACACTGTCCCCGAGTGTTTCTCTCTCTCTTTCTTTCTCTATGTTTTCTTCTCGGGTGCCGTGCGGTGACCTCCGCGATGATCATTGCGATGTACAATGGGTCCCGCGATGTTGTACCAATGTCCGACTGTGATTGTACCAATATGCGGCGCGTTTATGTTTCTTCATATTGTCCGACGTCCGCGCGTACACCTGACTTGGATGTTAATATGCATGCCGAAGACGCGGTTCGAGGCCGTCCGACGAAATCGCGAGGAAACCGCGTGTCTGAGCATGCTGAAGACTCTTATCCTCTTTTTCTTCGGCTTCCTGACCCTTCATAAAAGTATAATTATGTGCGAGAAAAAGTGTTTTGAAACAGTATGTTTATCGAGAAATTGGCAGCTCGATAAATAATTTTAATTTTATGACATTTATGGGTTATAAAATATTAGTACATAACATTTAAGACGTAAATTTTCTTAAACGATTCTTTCTTGTATTGTGATACTGTTATCATTTCTTCATTTTTTCATCGCATATCCAAAGTTTAATTAGATGGAAAATTTGATGTGAGATGAATGATGTTTCGAAAAGAAAAAGACTTATAAATAAGAAATAATACAAATGGAGGCTTTAAATATAATAAATATATCACTCAAATTATAAAGAAAAACTTTAGGTTTACATATTTCGGAATATCACATCTGAAACTTGGCAGTGATAAACCTAAAGTTTCCTTTAATTTGAGTAATATATTTAATATATTTAAATATCTATTCGTATTTTTAATCGTGGAAAAATGTTACTGCAATTTAAAGTTAATTTTGTATAACAAGAAATTTTCTACATATTAAAAATATATATATATAGTAGTTTACATTAAAATATTAATTAACATGACAGATATTATCGCATTGTGCTTGATATATGGTATAGTTTTTAACATTTTTTTTTTTAATATTACATCTGATAAATTGAACTTTTGTAACATTCGAAGAAAGAAGTTTTTGTAAAATTGTCAGTCTTTACATTTGACAAAGAATATATTGCTTACTCAACTAAATCGAATGCGAGCAGACAATTGATAATCGAAATACGCATAATGTACGCAATGCACGTATGCACGCGCGCCGTGTGCCAATATGTCGAATACAGGCGGTCTATCAAGGTCGTTCGACGAAAGAACACCCTGCAATCGACTAAATTCTATTACGCATTCAGCGGGAGCGGCGATGAGTCTGTTAACATGAATCGACGTATACTGTCGCATTAATTACCAGACACGTAATCGTTAACCGTTGTCCAGAAAATCGGTGAAAGGTGTGTAGAAATTATATGGGAAATCTATGCAATAGCTCGAGAAAATTTCAGGTATGTTATAATAAAAATAATTTAACAGGTTATATATTTATTTTTTTATACACAAATTATTTATTATATCGCTGCATGTCTATTATATACGCAAACAATTAGAAAGAACTTTCCTCGTTGTTATTTTTTAATAAAGATTTTAATAAAGATCTAAAAAAATGCTTCAAATAATGTATGGCATATAAATAAAAAAATTGAAAATAGAATTTTGTTATATATGCATGGACTTGTCTCTTTAGTTTTTAAATTATTTTATACAACTGTAAAACTCTTTGTTAAGCTTTTCTAAATTTTATATTAATATAACTGTAAATTGTAAACTTTTCTTTACATCCACGCGAAGGAAAATCTGTTGGTCCAAAATTAGTGTAATAATAAGCTCAAGTACGTGCAAGAAATGGAAAAAGGTATTCAGGGTAAAATTAATTCGCACTAATACAGTTTATAAAAAATTTTTTTAATAAAAATCAATATATTAACAATATATTGTCAATACAACGTCATTATTGTATGTACAATTATAATGTGACTAGTTCTCGTCCGGCGTTATCACGGAGATGTCTCTCAAGGATGATAAACGAGTGGCGGCGGCGCGATTTTGACGACGGGTTTCACCACCGCCAGCGGTTCCCGGCGCACCACAGCGTTGAATCCATTCACGGGATCAGCAGTATACTCGACGATTCGTCTAGTACCGTCGGCTTCGATGAGGCTGTAGCTGCCACTTACGACGTCACCGTTTCTGCTTTCGTGCTGGCTCTTCGCGTCACCCGTTAACGCGTCCTGGACATCGTAGGCGTAAGTATACTGGGGATAAGGATCGTAGCCTGTAGTGTCAATTGCGAACTTGGCGAGTGGAATAGCCGG